TTTAGGGTTTAGGGTTTCAGGGCTTTCGAGGCTCTACTAGGCATCTTTAACACACGAATGCTCACACTGATATGAACATGACGCATCAAAACGCAACAAACACAGCATTGCCTAGCCGAGCAGAACAGAGCCAAATATTGCATGAAATGTAACACGATGCAAATACAGTGTGATATCTCCGACCATATCCTATCACAGAAACAGGACATCTTTCTGCGGCACTAAACCCTAAACCCTAAACCCCTTTAGGGACCACCACTAAACCCCTGGCCCCCCACACTGCTTACTCTTGGCAATGCCTCTGTTGGCCTCGACTCCTACCTCTGAGATTATCATTTTCGGAGCACTGCGATGATCATTTGCAGCTTTCCACTGGCAAGTAACCACAAAACTCTTAAAAGGTCCACAAACCCCAGACCCCAACCCTATACCCATAGTCCCTAATTCAACCCGAAACCCGAAACTCTCGAGCCCCAGATCCCAAACTGAACCCCAAAACCGAGAGCAGTACTTCTCCAAGGGTTGCTCTCAGAACTGGGTTTAGGGTTTAGGGTTTAGGGTTTAGGGTTTAGGGTTTAGGGTTTAGGGTTTAGGGTTTAGGGTTTAGGGTTTAGGGTTTAGGGTTTAAGGTTTGGGTTTAGGGTTAACTGACCTTCATCTCTCTGGCGAACGCGAGCTGCTCATCTGGCCGTATCGCCTGCAGACATCGAGGCAACCAAGTCCTGAACCGCCTTCCTTCTTCCCCGGCGGAAGCCCTGAATATCCCTTGCCTTAAACCCCTAAGCCGTAAACCCTAATCCCCTCACTCCCCTCCAAACCTCCATAGAAATCCCCAAATCACTTCGGAGGTCGCAAGAAACGCAGCGACGTCGCCGTCTTCTCGGTGATCTGCTTGATGGCTACAGCCTTCAACCCCAGGCCATAGCGGTGCTGAGGGTTTGGGACTTAGGAGGGCTTGGGGTTTGGGGTCTCCTAAACCCTAAAACCTAAACCCTAAGGCCCTAAGGTTTAGGGTTCGGGGTCTGAGCGAGTCCCATAGCTCCGATGGCAGGGGGGAACGCGCGGCAAACCCCCTAACCAAGCCCACAGACGTTTCCCTCCTCATGCAGGCTTGTACAGGACCTTCACAGCACCCCTTTTTCTCGCCTGGAGCCTTAAGCCGCAAACTCTAAAGCCCAAAACAACAGATCCCTAAACCCCCAACCCCCAACCCCAGAAAAGAACCTAAGCCCTAAGACACGATGCCTGAAGCCCTTGATCCCTAAACCTGCCCCCCCCCCCCCCCCCCCCCCCCGGCTCGCACGCAAAACCCTCAACCCCAAACCCCAAGCCGTAAACCCCAAACCCTAAACCCTAAACCCCAGACCCCAAACCCCAAACCCTAAACCCCCCAACAAAAGGTAACCCTGAACCCTGAACTCGTAAGGCCGGGCCACGGTGTTTATCCGCGTCCAGTAGCCTGCGAGGGGGACAAGGCGGCGACGTGCGTTCCGCAGCTCAGGACACCCTGAAACCCCCGAAACCCTAAACCCTGAACCCTAAACCCTAAACCTTAGACCCCCAACTTGGGATGTTCCCCCTTATACTAACAATCCTTCATCGTACCTATCAAAACCCCAGTAAGGGCTGTTAGTATCAGGGGGAACATCCCATCCTAAACCCCAACTCCAAACCCCAAACCCGAAACCCGAAACCCTAACCCCCAAACCCTGAACCCCAAACCCTTGATTAAAAAGCACAAAGAACCTGAAGACCCCAAGCCGCCACGGTGGCCGGGGCCTTTGAACACCTCCGAGGTGCAGCCCGAGCCGATGCACTTCTCCGTCCTTGCTTGGGAGAAGGCTTGAAGGGGGTTTAGGGTTTAGGGTTTAGGGTGTAGGGTTTAGGGTTTAGGGTTTAGGGTTTAGGGTGTAGGGTGTAGGGTTTAGGGATTAGGGATTAGGGTTGAGGGTTTAGGGGTGCTTAGGGTCTTTTTTGGACTCGCTCAGCAGCAACTCCGCAGAAAACTCAAACTCAAGGCTGTGAGAAGACTGTGTAGGAGTGTGCTTCTAGGAGCGTCTTGCACGTTGGCAACCTCACTAGGGTACTCCAAGATTGGCGGTCTACAGCAGCTTCCTAGAATTTTTACGCTCCGCAAAGTCTTTTGTGGAACTGTTGGAGTTTCGAGAAGGCAGTATCTCGACACCTGCTGATGAGATGAGATCTGCGCGGATCAAATCCGACGTCGCGGTGAATACCATCAAGATCTCTGCCGACCGATGATGAAGCAATGGCATCGATTGAGCATGTGTGTTCGCCCCACCCAGATTGTTCGTTCAAACTGGAACTGTGAGCTCTCCCGCAAGCACACAATCGACTGTCTGGTTCTGTTGGTGGAACTCTCAAGTGATGAATAGATGCTGCTCCAACAAGATCGTGGAAAGTCTCGATCTTCTTATACCCTGGGCTCTTCGCGCTTGATCGTCTGAATTTCTGCGACATAGCCGCTTTGACGCACAACTTCCCAGTTTCTCGATCTCTGGCGGTGAGGGGTGTAGATTTTCGGAAGCCTAGAGCCCTAAACCCTGCAAACCCCGAAAGCCCTTAACTAGGGCCGAGCCTACCAGCCCTACGTCCCACCTGGAGCCTGGTTGAAACCCCTGACATAGGGTGACGGCACCACCACTTCTATCATCAATGGATATCTCTATGCCAACTCGCTGTCGCGCTCTAACCCTGAAGGGTTCGGAGGGGTGGTTTTAGGGTTCAGGGCTTTAGGAATTAGGGTTGAGGGTTTAGGGTTTATAGGGTTTCGAGCGGACACTTTTGCCAGTCAGGGCGGTGCGTTGCAGCTACACAAGAGTCACAACTCCTCACGACCACGCTCTATGCAACCAAGCCCGAAGTTCCTCAAGAGGTAGCATTCAACAAGCCTTAAACCTTAAACCCCATAAGTCCCGAGCCCTGAGCCCCCGTAAGCCTAAAACCCTAAGTCCTAGGGCTTTTGGACTTAAGCATTTGGGGCTTGAGGATTTCAGACGGGTTTAAAGGGTTGTTCTGTATGGCGTCGGCTTTTGACAGAAAAGGAACTTCCCGAGGCTCTTTTGACAAAGCTTTCGGAAGTTGACCCTAGAAACCCGACGCCTGGAAATGAAAAAACTAAACCGTTAACATCCTACACCTCAAGAACACCCAAGATACCAAACCCTATCTACCATACAAACCTAAATGTTAAATACGACTTTGGCGATTTGATCAATTTTACCCCCCATTGTTCAGCACGAATTTGGCGATTTGATCCATTTCGGCACCTCTGACCTTTTTGGCCCCCGTTTTTCAGCACTCCTGACCCCTCTGACCCCCCCTTCCCCAGAGCCAGAAGGGCACAGGACTCGGAATTCCGGGTTCCTGGATGGAATACCTTGAGGTCTGTGTGATTGCTTGGACTCTTGGTGCGTCTGAAAAGAAATTCCTAAACTTTCTATTTCGTAGTGTTATGAGATTCTTTGGGCGGGTGGGTGTTTTTCTGTTGCCTACAAACACTGCTGGCCTAGTAAATGCTCGAACTTGAGATGCTGAACCCTAAACCCTAAACCCTGAAACCCGCCCAGCAGCATCAGCTCGCAACTGGGTATTTCCAGATCCGCAATCTCCGCCAGACCTCCGGATCGAGAGAACTTGCCCGCCCCCACAAAACAGCCTGAGTTTAGGGGCTTCGGGCTTAAGGGGCTTCAGGGGCTCAAGGGGCTCAAGGGGCTCAAGGGGCTCAGGGGTTTGGGGTTTGGGGTTTGGGGTTTAGGGTTTAGGGTTTGGATGGAACGCCGGTCCCAAGGCCACTGACCCTCAACCTTAAACCCGCAACCACCAAACCCTAAACCCTGAACCCCAAACCCTAAACCCCAAACCCCAAACCCTAAACCCTAAACCCTAAACCCTAAACCCTAAACCCTAAACTCTAAACCCTAAACCCTACACCCCAGCCCTCAACCCAAAAACCTGGGGAAGCAGAAGCACGAGGAGACGGTGTGGTGGATCGGTTTTGGTAGGGTTGAGGCTTGAGGGTTGAGGGTTGAGGGTTCAGGGTTTAGGGTTTAGGGTTCAGGGTTCAGGGTTTAGGGTTTAGGGTTTAGGGTTTAGGGGTTAGAAGTTAAGGGTTAGCGGTTAGGGTTAGGGGTTAGGGGTTAGGGGTTAGGGGTTAGGGTTTAGGGGTTTAGGGTTTAGGGTTTAGGATTTAGGGTTCAGGGTTTAGGGTTAGGGGTTTAGGGTTTAGGGTTCAGTGCAAGAGGCAGACAAGGAAGAGACTCGCGCAGCGCGCACGGTGACAAAACAAACGCCACGTGGGAACACAGCCGCTGGCAACATCGACTGGGCACCGAAACCCTAAACCCTCAACCCTAAACCCTAAACCCTCAACCCTAAACCCTCAACCCTAAACCCTAAACCCTAAACCCTAAACCCTAAACCCTCAACCCTCAACCCTAAACCCTCAACCCTAAACCCTAAACCCCTGCCCCTGGGCGCCGGGCTCATGCTTCTTAAAAGTGCGGAGCGCCGTAGTTGGGCTTGGCTCTAAGCTGGCTGTTGAGCCCAGACGGCCAAGGAAGAACAGCGGCGGGATCTGGAAACATTCACCCTAAACCTCTAAACCCCAAACCCTAAACCCCTAAACCCCTAAACCCCTCAACCCCTCAACCCCCAAACACCTAAACTCCTAAATCTCTAAACTCCTGAACCCCTCATCCCTAAACCCTAGCCCTAAACCCTAGCCCTAAACCCTAAACCCCCAAACCCTACACCCCTGAACTCCTGAGGGCTTCTTAAGGGCTCAGCAGCTACCAGTCGTTCCTAGGATGGCCTTTAAAACCCTCTGAAATACTGCTCCTGAATGTGATCCTCTTGAAGCCCAATACGGGAAAACGTAAACTGTCCCAAGGGCCTGCCCCAAACCCTAAACCCTAAACCCTAAACCCCAAACCCCAAACCCCAAACCCTAAACCCTAAACCCCTCTTGAGGGTGGAGCCAGGTTCGTCGCATCCGAGGAGGCGTTCGCAATGACCAGCGCCGCCGCCCTCCGGATGTCCACGTTCTCCATGGAGTTGCAGATCCTCGGCTTTGAGGAGTTTTGGGGGGTTTTGGGGGTTTAGGGTTTAGGGTTTAGGGTTTAGGGTTTAGGGTTTGGGGTTTAGGGTTTAGGGTTTGGGGTTTGGGGTTTGGGGTTTAGGGCTTTGGGCTCGCAGATCCTCGGCGCTCTTTCCGGCCAGCTCCGTGGCCCCGCTTACAGAAAATCCCAAACACCAAGCCTAAACAAAAGAAGAGGGGGGGGGAGAACTTCTGGGTTTAGGGGTTTAGGCTCCTAAACCCCAAACCCCAAACCCTAAACCCTAAACCCTGTTCAGGCATGTGGGGGTCGGCTTGAAATGGTCGGTTCCCTACCAATACGCCACATGCATTCAGGGTGACCACAGCGCTGTGCTGCCGTGGATCAGAAACATGAGGTCAATCACGTCAGTCGCCTCAAGCTTTCTCGCATGCGTGGAGAAGGGGGGGTGAGGGGGTTGGGGTTTAGGGTCTTTCGCAACCCTGAACCCGAAAAAAAAGAAAAAATGTTCCCAAAACGCATGGCACCCTGCACCTCGCTTAAACAGAAACTACAGAACCCTGCCATTCATGCAACCCAAGTGGATTTAGGATGAAATTTGGGATGTTCCCCCTTACGCTAACAGTCCTTAATTTTTGTACCCTTATTAGAATCCCTATTCAGGGCTGTCAGTATACGGGGGGAACATCCCAAGTGGAAACCAACGAACGACCCACGAACGCACCCATAACCGGAGATTTTGCCACCGTGTGGCTGTCGGAGTGGTCGGATGCGTTGCGCAGACCTGGGTCGAGCATTGAGCTTGTACTATAGGGGCCTTAATGATTAGAATAGGGTTTTGGGGCCGACTACAGTAAAATTGTAAAGGGACCATGGGGGAATGTTAAGGGTTTAGGGTTTAGGGTTTAGGATCTGTCTCCTTGCATGTAGGCACCACCTCCCTGGCGAGGGCTACGCTTGGGAACTGCCCTTGAACCTGGGGGGTAGGTTGAGGAAGGGGCGCATAACAACCAGTCTGCGAATCTCAGGGACTCATCTCACCCTAAACCCTAAACCCTAAGGAATACAAACAAAGTCGAGCGCGGCTGAAGAAAATCCGAGTGGCCGCAGCCATCATCTGAAGCGCATTTGCTCGCCTCACGGGCAAGCAACCCCGACTCAAAACCCTAAACCATAAACCCGAAACCTTGAACCTTGAACCCTAAAACCTAAACCCTAAACCTGCTGAACCCTAGAGCAACTAGCAAGACGCATGGCTTTAGCTGGGATGTTCCCCCTGGATTATGATAGGGGGCGCATTAATCCCCATGAAGGACTGTTAGTACAAGGGGGTCATATGTATACATTTTATATATATATATATATATATATATACATATATATATATATGTATATGTATATATATATATATATTATATGCCCTATACCCTAAACCCTAAACCCTGAACCCTATACCCTCAACCCTGAACAACCACCCTAAACCTTAAAATCCCAAACTGGGAGACTTTGGCGGCTCTTGCGCTTCACCCAAAACCGTAAACCGTAAACCCTAAACCCTAAACCCTAAACCCTAAACCCTAAACCCTAAACCCTAAAGGGGGCTTCGCGTGTGCCGTAAGCTTCCGTGCGCAGACCCAAAAAAGCCCAGCCCCAAAGCCCCAGCCCCAAAGCCCCAGACCCAAGCCTCCCTCAGCTCCAAGGGTTTAGGGCTTAGGGTTTTAGGGTTTAGGGTTTAGGGTTTAGGGTTTAGGGTTTAGGGTTTAGGGTTTAGGGCTTAGGGTTTAGGGTTTAGGGTTTAGGGTTTAAGGTGTATATATATAGAGCGAGAAAAAGATCTAGGCTCAGTCAAACCCTAAACTCCTCAAACCCCCCCAAAGCCCTAAACCCCTAAACCCCCTAAAGCCAGTTCTCACCAAGGGACATGGCGATGCTCAGACGCTCCGTCATGGCAATCGGACAAACGTTCGCCATGGCCTGGGTTGACGGTGCTTCAGGCTCAGGGTTGTAGGGTTTGGGGTTTGGGGTTCAAGGTTCAGGGTTTAGGGTTTAGGGCTTGGGGTTTAGGTTTTCGCGCTAGCGATACTCCGCTCCGAAGAACCACGATGAGAACACTCCGTTAAGAATACCCTGAACCCTACTAAAGCCTAAAACGCCTTTGGGTAATTCGGAAGGACTCCACAAATTGAGGCCCTCTACGGATTTAGGCTTTGGATAGTTTAGCGTTGTCGGGTTTAGGGTTTAGACCATAAACACCCAACCTTGGGATGTTCCCCCCTTATAAGACCCGAGCCAAGGGTCTGGGGTTTGGGGTTTAGGGTTTAGGGTTTAGGGTTTAGGGTTTAGGGTTTAGGGTTTAGGGTTTAGGGCTTCAGGCGCGCGGCTCCGGTGGTCAGAATGACGTGGTGATATTTCGGCGACAGGCTGAGAAGCATCAGGGCCCGGATAACATGCCTGGCAGTCGGAGACTCGGAGACCCTAAACCCTAAACCCTAATCCACAAGCCCTAAACCCTAAGCCCTACTCCCTAAACCCTAAACCCTAAACCCTAAACCCTAAACCCTAAACCCTAAACCCTAAACCCTAAACCCTAAACCCTACTAAGCGAAATTGAGGAGGGAACCCTAGCAGGGATGTCCAACTTGTTCTTACCTCCACGAGAAAACCCTATAGAAGGCTGCGCCCCGGCGGGGCTGTGGGTTGGCTGAGGGTTTGGGGCTTGAAGGTTGCAGGGCTTTAAGGTCTTAGGGCTTGGGCCTTAGGGTTATGTAGGGCTCTCGCTTTTTTGGGGTTTGGGGCTGAGGGTTTGGGGTTGTAGGGTTTTTGGGTTTAGGGCTTAGGGTGTTAGCTGTCATTTTTACAATCCTGCTACAGTCCTAGGAGCCCCTTCGGGTCCATGTAAGGGTGCCTCGTTCAGTCCTTTGACTTTTCTCTCCCAGGTGTGGTGGCTGCCCTCCTAGACCCCTAAAACCCTAAGCCCCTAAAAACCTAAACCCTAAACCCTAAACCACTAACCCAAATCCCTAACCTCAAAACCTCCCAAGCCCCGGAAAGCACCAAAAAACTGCTGCGGTTCAGGGGCACGGGACAGACGCTCACATCAGACCACCCGAGCCACGAAAAGTTGAAGGCTCAGGGAGTCGGATTGAGGGTGTGGGGCTTAAGGTGCCAGGGTGTCCCAGACCTGAAGCACTCCAACCTCCTCAATTTCACCCTAACCATGAATAACCCTAAACCCGAAACCCTAAACCCTAAACCCTGATCCCCCTAAACCCTGAACCCTGATCCCCTAAACTACACCCTTCTGCCGGCCAAGCTGCATCTGAACCTGAGGCGAGGGCGGAAGACTTCTAAGACTGGAGGTCCCAGTTTCGGCGTAGGGCTTAGGGTTCAGGTCCAGGGTTTAGGGTTTTAGGGTTCAGGGTTTAGGGTTTCGGGTTTAGGGTTTAAAGTTTAGGGTCTAGGGATTAGGGTTTAGGGTTTAGGAAAAGTTTAGGAGCCTAGAAACCCTTACAACCCTAAAGGCCCCCAAACCCCGAAGGCCTCAGCCTTGAATCCCTGAACCCCTAAACCCTAAAGACCCTCTCACCCTACATCCCTAGACCCTGAGGACCCGAAAGGCCCTAAAGGGCCTCTGAGCCCAAAGCCCTACAGCGTTAAACCCGAAATTGTCGGGGTTTAGGGGTGTAGGGTTTAGGGGTTTAGGGCTTTTGGGCCTAAGCACCTGAAGCTTCCTAAACTCCTTGAAGGCCCCGAAGCCCCCCTGGCCTAAACCCTAAACCCCAAACCCTAAACCCTGAACCCTGAACCCTGAACTCTAAACCCAAGCATCACTTCGGCCCTGAGGTGCGGGCATTCGTGTTGTCGTTGTGGATATGCTCCGTGAGGACTTCGAAAAGGGGTGATTCAACCTTCCCGTCCCCCCCCCCCCCGAAAAGCGCACAGCTCTGAACCCTAGCCCCAAAAAGACATGGCCGAAACAATGGGAGACCCTGGGTTTAGGGTTTGGGGTTTTGGGGTTTGGGGTTTGGGCTTTGGGGTTTGGGGTGGATCTGGCTTGCACGGGTCACAGGGGCGGTTTTTTTCGTGGTACGGGGGTGTACGCGGTGGTAGGGGGTGGTAGTAGTGGTGCGGGGTGGAAGGGCGTGGTGGGGTGGTAGTGGCAGGAGGGGGCGGGTAAGGGGTGGTAGAGGTGGTAGGGGGTGGCAGGGGGGTGTTCGAGGTAGAGCAGGTACGGCAGGTTGATCAAAGGAATCTTACGCTCATGAGGGAGCCCTAAACCCCTAACCCTAAACGCTAAACCCTAAACCCTAAACCCCCAAGAGGACCTTTGCATCAACCCCCCCACCTTGGTTGCGAGCTGTAGGAGTGCCCCGCGCTCCCCCCCAAAACCCTAAACCCCCAAAACCCCTAAACCCTAATCCCTAAACCCTGAACCCTAAACCCTAAACCCTAAACCCTAAACCTAAAGATGTAAGAGGGTATCTGCTTTGTGGGGCTTGGGGCTTCATGTCCGGCAGCTGGGTGGCCTAGGATTTAGGGCTTTAGGGGTTTAGGGATTCGGGTTTAGTGTTTCGGGTTCAGGGTTCAGGGTTCAGGGTTCAGGGTTTAGGGTTTAGGGTTCAGGGATTTTGGAGTTTCTCTACCAGTCGCCCACCGGCGTCTGGCCAACAGGACACAGACCTTGGCATTCAGAAGGGCAAAAGACACCTGCCCCTAAACCCTAAACCCTGAACCCTAAACCCTAAACCCTGAACCCGAAAGCCCTAAACCCTCAACAGCTTCAGAAGAGTGGCAATGCGGTCATGAAGATCCACGCTTTCGCAGATGTTGGCGATGATAGCCACGCCGATGGGAACCTTTGCAGACCTACTATCTGCTTAATTGAGAACCCCAAAAGAAGAAATTGTGAACAAAAAAACTAGAAAACGATTGGCCCGAAAGCATCCATGCCGAGATCTCTCTGCGTTTGAGGGCTCACTTGGCTCACTCTATCTAAACTCTTGACTCTATGCACTTGACTCGATGGTTTTTGGCTCTTCGCTTGGCTATGCACTTGGCTCTATGCACTTGACTCAATGGTCTTGGGCTCTGCACTTGGCGATGTACTTTACTCTATGCACTTGGCTCTGTGCACTTCACTCGATGGTTTGGTCGAAGGGCTCCGCACGGAAGAACCCTTCGCGATGCTCTCGGGAAAAAGCCATAATCCCCATATTACCTTTTCAGGAAGATTGTTGTTGTTTTTCGTTTTTTATTGGGGGGGGGGGGGGGTGGTTCTTAAGCAGTTAGTAGAGACTGGCGAGCCATTGCCCGACTTAGCCGACATACTGGCTCCAGCTGTACAATGATGAAATACAAACGCAGCCTCACCCTACTCGGAGGTTCATGGCTACTTATAAGTAGGGTTGTAAGTAGGGTTACTATGTTTTCAATCTACTTGTCAGTATGCATGAACCTTGGAGTAGACAAGCGAGACATAATGAAGCGGTCAACTACCGACACATACACAAAGAAATGGTACATCACCCCTAAACCCTCAGCCCTAAACCTAAACCCCTCTATCCGAAACCCTGAACCCTGAACCCACCCTAAACCCTAAACCCTAAACCCTAAACCCTAAACCCTAAACCCTAAACCTTTTCCAGAAAACACAAAAAACACAAACACATGGTTCCCATGGGCATACTCCACATGACCTGAGCCCCAAAGCCTAAACCCTAAACCCTAAACCCTAAGCCCTAAACCCTAAACCCTAAACCCTAAACCCTAAACCCTGGACCCTAAACCCTAAACCCTAAACCCTAAACCCTAAACCCTAAACCCTAAACCCTAAACCCTAAACCCTAAACCCTAAACCCAACCCCCTCATGATTCCCAAGGGGCATACTCCACATGACCGGAGCCGCGGCCTGCCAGCTCAATGACCTGTGACACCTGTGACGCTTCGGGGCTGAGGGCTTCGGGGTTACAGGGTTTAGGGTTTAGGGTTTAGGGTTTAGGGCTTAAGGTTTAGGGTTTAGGGTTGAAGGTTTAGGGGCGACTGGGTTTAGGAGGTTTAGGGTTTTGGGTTAGGGGGTCATTTAGGTTTCGGGCTTGGACGTCTGGGTTGGGGTTCAGGCAGCTGGAGGTTTTAATGTTGACCCCGCAAAACATCTAAACCCTAAACCCTAAACCCTGAACCCTAAACCCTAAACCCTAAACTCTAAACCCTACACCCTAAACCCTAAACCCAAGCTTCTCCCCAGGTAGAAATGGGGCTGTGAAACTCGCCCATCCTCAGCCCCTCCGGCCCTGCCTCCTTCTCCATCATCATGCCTGGACCAGGGAAATCCAATAGTTCACGTTTTGCTGGCTTAGGGTTTAGGGTTTAGGGTTTAGGGTTTAGGGTTTAGGGTTTAGGGTTTAGGGTGTAGGGTGTAGGGTGTAGGGTGTCGGGTGTAGGGTGCAGGGTTTAGGGTTTAGGGTTTAGGGTTTAGGGTTTAGGGTTTACTGGGAGCGGAGGGGCTTCAGTATGGTCAGCGCTTCCTTTCTGAGGGGCCCCTAAGGAACCCTAAACCCTAAACCCTAAACCCTAAACCCTCAACCCTAAACCCTAAACCCTCTTGTTCCTGGAACTTTTGGAACTTTTGACTTGACCAGGAAACTCCCCCCCTATAGCAGTGCCCTCAAACCCTACAACCCGAAACCCCCTAAGACTCGAAGCCGAACCCTAAACCCAAAATGCGAAGGGTTCAGGGCTGAGGGCAATCCTAAACCGCCTAAACCCTTAACCTTAAACCCGAAACCCTTCCCCAAACTCTGAACCCTGAACCCTAAACCCCAAACCCTAAGCCCTAAACCCTAACCCCTAAAAACCCTAAAAACCCTAAAAACCCTAAAAACCCTAAAAACCCTAAAAACCCTAAAAACCCTGAAACCTGAAACTTCGGCCTGCGTTCCCTTTGTACATGGAGAAGTGCAACAGCAAGTCCATGGAGAGAGTTTTCAGCGTCTGCGGACATTGACCTGATGAGATGGGTCCGGGATGGGCTCCGGGCTTCGGGTTTCGGGTTTCGGGTTTAGGGTTTAGGGTTTAGGGTTTAGGTTTTAGGGTTTAGGGTTTAGGGTGTGGGGTTTAGGGTTTAGGGTTAGGGGCCCCCATTGACTCAAATCGGATTTGGCTTCAGCCACACCGGAGGACCGACATAGCGAGACTTTAGACCCTAAGGTCCTAAGAGTAACCCTACACCTTGGAATGTTCTCCCCTATACTAAGAGTCCTTAAACGGGATTAGAATAGAGGGTACTAAAATTCCCATTGAGGTCTGATACTATAAGGGCAACATCCCAACCTACACCCTAGACCCTAAACCCGTAGCCCGAAACCGATTCTCGCAGTTGCACCAACATCACGGCAGGAACGGGCGTGTTCACACAAGGCCCTGAACACTACAACCCAAAACCTAACTAAACCCCCTCACCCCTGAACCCTGAACCCTAAACAATTAAAATTCAGCATAGGCCCCGAAACCCCCGAAGCCCCGGAACAACAAAGAGCGAGAAAATCAAAACCCAAACATAGGCGCCCCGGCTGTTGCACATGCCGGTAAGCAGAGGCACCAGGCCTTCATCCACACGGAGCAAGGGTTGGGGGGGTTTAGGGTTTAGGGGCTTCGGTGTGCAGGGCCTGAACCCTAAAGCGGTGGCTTTAGGGTTTAGGGTTTAGGGTTTAGGGTTTAGGGTTTAGGGTTTGGGGTGTGGGGTTTAGGGTTTAGGGTTTAGGGTTTAGGGTTTAGGGTTTAGGGTTTAGGGTTTAGGGTTGGGGTGTGGGGTTTAGGGTTTAGGGTTTAGGGTCTAGGGCTCAGGGCTGTTTCAGGATCTTGCAGATTCAGGGGTTGGAGGTGTGAGGGGTTTGGGGTGTTGTGCTTGCGGGGGTCCGGTTTGAAGTTTAGGGCTTGGCCTTTCGGGTTTAGGGTTTAGGGTTTAGGGTTTAGGGTTTAGGGTTTAGGGTTTAGGGTTTAGGGTTTAGGGCTTAGGGTTTAGGGTTCAGGGTTCAGGGTTCAGGGTTCAGGGTTCAGGGTTTCGAGTTGAGGGTTTTGGGGTTTCAGGGTTTAGGGCTTCGAGAACAGTACGCTCAGCACCCGAAAATCCGTAAACCCGAAGACCGAGGCAGCCGCCCATGGATGGAAAGAGCTCCTTCCAACAGGCTTTGCAGTTCAAAAAAAAGTTGAGGGGTTAGGGTTTAGGGTTTCGGGTTTAGGGTTTAGGGTTTAGGGTTTAGGGTTTGGGGTTTCGGGCTTAGGGTTTAGGGTTTAGGGGTTTAGGGTGTGGGGTTCAGCGCTCTCGGCCCTGCAGGCTGAAAGCCCTCAAATCCCGAAAGCCCTAAGACCCTGAAGCCCTAGGCCCTCACACCCCTAGACCAAAAAGCTGAAAATCTCAATGAAGTCCAACACCTCCCTAGAATTTAGAAACTCCCCCCCTCAACTCTAAAACCTAAAACCTAAACTCAGGATTCTAGCGGTGTGTGGTGTGTGTGGTTCAAAGCCAACACCATCTCCCAAATGCCCAAACCCGAACGAAGCCTAAACCCCTGAACCCCCCAAACCCCTAAACCCTGAACCCTAAACCCTAAACCCTAAACCCTAAACCCTAAACCCCACTCCTGGGCTTCGCTCTCCACTGCGAGGCCGCGGAGGATGGCGAGGGAGTACCACATGATGTTGTAGTTGGGGTCCTTTAGAAGTCCAAGGTTTAGGGTTTAGGGTTTAGGGTTTAGGGTTTAGGGTTCAGGGTTTAGGGTTTAGGGTTTAGAGTTTAGGGTTTAGGGTTTAGGGCTGAGGGTACCACATGATGTTGTAGTTGGGGTCCTTTAGGGGTTTAGGGTTTAGGGGTTTCAGGGGTTAGGGGGTTTAGGGGTTTCAGGGTTTAGGGGTTTTCGGGTTTCAGGGTTGGGGGGTTAGGCTTTAGGGTTTAGGGTTTCGAGGTTTAGGAGGTTTAGGGGCTTTAGGGTTTACGGGTTTAGGGGGTTTAGGGGGTTTAGGGATTTTAGGGGTTTTGTGGGGTTTAGGGGGTTTAGGGGGTTTAGGTTTTGGGGGGTTTAGTGGGTTTAGGCGGTTTGGGGGGTTTAGGGGGTTTAGTTTAGGGGTTACAGGGGCTAGGGGCTTTAGGGGGTTTAAGGGGTTTAGGGGGTTTAGGGGGCGTTTAGGGTTTTGGGGACTAAGAGTTTTGGGTGTTCAAGCTCTAGAGCTTCCGGGGGCACAGGGTTTAGGAGGGTTTGACGGTTTGAGGCTCCAGGAATTTGAAAAGTCCAGACCCGAAACCCTACCTACGGGCCTTTGAAAGTCTGAAGATTTAGGGAGGTCTACAAGCTGCTTGAGGGACTTAACAAAAATGCTGGCGTTGGAGAGATCTTGGGGCCTTGAAGGACTCGGGTTTGGGGTTTAGGGTCTAGGGTCTAGGGTTCAGGCAACCCTAAACCCTAAACCCTAAACCCTAAACCCTAAACCCTAAACCCTAAACCCTAAACCCTAAACCCTAAACCCTAAACCCTAAAACAAAATAGCGATCCCTTCCCTCCGGGCGCCTGCATGTAGCCCCAGATGATCTCGTAAACCTGCGCACCGGAGTTGGCCAGTCCGAGTGCTTCGGGCGACAAGGGGGGGGGGGGGGGGGGGGTGGGCTTTAGGGCCTTTGGGCTTTCGGGGCTTTAGGGTTTAGGACTCAGGGTTTCGGGTGCCCCTACAACTAAGCCCTACCCCTCAAAGCTTGCGCGTTTCTGTGACAGGCGCCTCCTTTCCCATCATCCACTTCCGATGCCAGGGATCGGCCGTCAGATTGGCCAGGCAGAAGAGACAGTTGATCCTGATTCAGGGTTTAGAGGGTCACCCTAAACCCTAGGGTTACCCTAAACCCTAAACCCTAAACCCTAAACCCCAAACCCTAAACCCGAAACCCTAAACCCTAAACCCTAGGATTTGGGAGAGTTTAGGGTTTAGGGCTTCAGGCAACTTAGGGCTTGGGGCCTTGCAGTTCCCTCAACGCGGACAAATGGCTGCCAGTCTCAGGTATGACCGGCAACGACATGATTTCGTTACCTGGGTTGAGGGTATAGGGTTTAGGGTTTAGGGTTTAGGGTTTAGGGTTTAGGGTTTAGGGTTTAGGGTTTAGGGTTTAGGGTTTAGGGTACTTCATGTCTAAACCCCTTGGCCCTAAAACCGCAAGCCTGCGCAATCACACAGACCTACAGACGCACGGCGGATGCTCTCAGATGCCCCAAGGTGAAGCATACCGGTCCGAGAACATGTGGGGGCGGTTCGGGTTTAGGGTTTAGGGTTTGGGGTTTAGGGTTTAGGGTTTAGGGTTTAGGGTTTAGGGTTTAGGGTTTAGGGTCTAGGGTCTAGGGTTTAGGGTTTAGGGTTTAGGGTGTAGGGTGTAGGGTGTAGGTGTAGGGGGGGGGGGGGCCAGATCCTGACTGATGTGCTTCGGGATCTTCGCTTCCCCCCGAACCCTGAACCCTAAGCCCTCAACCCTGAACCGCAGAAATTGTGGAAAAATGAGTGCGCCTTTCAAGCACTGCCCGCAATGCACATGGCGCGGTCCTTATCTCCTCTCGCTGGGTCTGCTTCAGGATTGTGAGGATACCGTCCGCAGCATTCATCTGTTGGAGCTCGTGCCACATGATGTTGCTACCTGAGGACCCTAAACCCTAAACCCTACACCCTAAACCCTAAACCCAAAGCCCCAAGCCCTAACAGAAAACTGTTCTCAGAGATGTCAGGAGTTTGCACCCAGCAACCAGGTTTGGGGACTGGGGCTCGGGTTAGGGGTGCCTTGCCAGCCTCTGTGCATTCGCGCCATGGGCCGTGCAACAACTGTAAGGAGACGGGGCTACTGCTTGGGGTTCGGGGTTGAGGGCTTCGGTCTTTGGGCTGCGGGGCCCAACCACACGAAAGCAAAACATTGCACCTTAAACCCCAAGCCCTGCACCCTCCAAACCCTAAACCCTAAACCCTAAACCCTAAACCCTAAACCCTAAACCCCAAACCCTAAGCCCTGAACCATGAAACCTGAACGCCAGACCCTAAGCCCCCACAAGGTCTCAACCCCAAGCAGCCCCTAAACCCTAAACCCTAAACCCTAAACCCTAAACCCTAAACCCTAAACCCTAAACCCTGCTTGGCTCCACCCCAGAACCTCTTTCTTATGGCCAAAGTTGCATGCGAAGTTCCCCAGCGCGTTGAGGACGTAAGCTATCACCTGGTTCACGTCTTAGAGATTTTTATAATATGGGTATAGGACTGAGAATTTTAAATCCAAATCGCATTCGATTCTAAATCGCTAGCGATCTTCCCATCTAAGGTCTAGGACGTTTTGGGGCTTTAGGGTGTACCCACTTTAGGGACTGATTAGAGGGCCTTAGGGTTTGTGGTCGCCCTGGTTGAGCCCCTACCCCGACTTTTGTCATCTCCGTGGAGAATGCTTCTGAATCCGACTATAGCTCCTAGGGTTTAGGGTTTAGGGTTTAGGGCTTCGGGTTTAGGGTTTAGGGTTTAGGGTTTAGGGTTTAGGGTTTGGGGTTTAGGGTTTAGGGTTTAGGGTTGAGGGTTCAGGGTTTAGGGTTTTCCGATTAAGGTGTATGAACCCTAGACCCTAAACTACCCTTTAGGTTTCAATCGGTTCGGCATACGCCAAGCTCCTGCTGGTTTCGAGCTTTAGGGTTCTGGCAGAGGAGAAAGGAAAAAAAAACAAAGCCAAATCCTGAGCCCCAAACCCTACTTGGAATGGCAACTGTACTTATGACCCACTTGTAAGCCCCTTAAGTGCCCTAATAGCTACAGCAAGAATGCGTCCACCCCGATCGCCTCTTGGACTTCTTCACTCTGGAGGATGGGTACCAGATGCCTTCGCGGCTCCACTGGTTGAGTGGGTTCAGGGTTTAGGGTTTAGGGTTTAGGGTTTAGGGTTTAGGGTTTAGGGCTTAGGGCACTGGTTGAGTGGGTTCAGGGTTTAGGCTTTGGGGTCTGTGGGGTGTAAGCAGCGCCCAGCAACGACCGCGCCAGCTGCAACGAAAGATGACGGTCAAGAAGTACAAGAGCCACAGTTCAGCAACACACACACACACACACACATGCACCAGAACAAACATACACACACACACACACACAGACACACACACACACACACACACACACACACACACACACACACACACACACACACAGACACAGACACACACACACACACACACACACACACACACATGCATATGTAGTCGGGAGTACGTTTCGGGCTTCGGGGTTATGGGTTTAGGGGCTTCAACAGCACCTAGTCAGAATGTCCCACCCAAATCACATATCGTTTAGGGTTTAGGGTTCAGGGTTCAGGGTTTAGGGTTTAGGGTTGAGGGTTGAGGGTTTAGGGTTTAGGGTTTACGGTTTAGGGTTTACGGTTTAGGGTTTAGGGTTGGGACCCCCAACCCGTAACCCTCATTTTTCATTGCCCAGACAGCTGAGCGCCTCATCTTGCGCGATGACTAGACACCTACACCAAGCCCCCAGGGGGTTTAACTCTAAGCCCTAAAACCCGTAAAACCCGTAAAACCCGTAAAACCCGTAAAACCCCTAAAACCCGTAAAACCCGTAAAACCCCTAAAACCCCTTAAAACCCCTTAAAACCCCTAAAACCCCTAATACCCCTAAAACCCCTAAAACCCCTAAAACCCCTAAAACCCCTAAAACCCCTAAAACCCCTAAAACCCCTAAAACCCCTAAAGCATAAACCCTGAAACCTTAACCCCGGTAGAGGGCAGCCGCGCGCCTGAGCACTTCCTCCTCCAACAGCTGCGAGTGCGTCGCGGACGAGGTGGAAAGGTTGGCGACCGCCAACGCCGCATACATTCGGCAGTCCTTGCATAAGGCTTTAGGCTTTAGGCTTTAGGCTTTAGGCTTTAGGCTTTAGGCTGTAGGCTTTAGGCGTTAGGCTTTAGGCTTTGAAGAGGCTTTAGGCTTTAGGGTTTAGGGTGTAGGGCTAGGGGTCAGGGTTTGGGGCTTGGGGCTTAGGATGCCGCCTGTAGGGTTTGGGGTTTCGGGAGAAACGATTAGGGTTGAGGGGCAAACCCTCCATAGGCTTTCATGGCCAGGAAAGGCTCAGGCGTTGCGCCCTCCATTCTTGACCCCAAACCCCAAACCCCAAACCCCAAACCCCAAACCCCAAACCCCAAACCCCAAACCCCAAACCCTAAACCCTAAACGGCCTCATCCAAGGAGATGATGAGTGGGAGGATGGCCGTACGCCATCCGCCTCTTTGCACTATTCGAACCTGCAAGACGGGATTCAGGATGCGAAGATCTCGGGCTCGGGTTGTGGATTCGGGTTTAGGGTTTAGGGTTTAGGGTTTAGGTTTTGGGGTTTAGGGTTTAGGGCTTAGGGCTTAGGGTTTAGACCTACACCCCCTAAATCTCGGAACCCGGAAGAGAAAGCCAAAACCATAAAAATGGGCCACAAAGCTCCCAAATCCCCGAGCTCCCCACCCTAAACCCTAAACCCTAAACCCTAAACCCTAAACCCTAAACCCTATACCCTAAACCCTAAACCCTAAACCCTATACCAACCCTCTTCGGGCTCCTTTTTCCGCCGCCAAAAATGTACTCCAGATGCTTCCCCTCCCTTTCTTAAGTGGTTCTATCAGAGGGTTTAGGGTTCCGGGTTTAAGGTTTGGGGTTTAGTTAGAATTTAGGGTTTAGGGTTTAGGGTTTAGGGTTTAGGGTTTAGGGTTTAGGGTTTAGGGTTTAGGGTTTAGGGTTTAGGACTTTTGCGTGCTGCGAAGAGTTCACGGCCTAGCGCCCAGGGCTGAAAGATTCAATCACGCAGAAAGCCTTTGGCGACCTGAGGCATCCCCATTTCTCTCTCGAGACGGTCCATGTGCTTGTGGTTGTATGCGGTCGCGGTTTAGGGTTTAGGGTTTAGGGTTTAGGGTTTAGGGTTTAGGGTTTAGGGTTTAGGGTTTAGGGTTTAGGGTTTAGGGTTTAGGGTTTAGGGTTTAGGGTTTAGGGTTTCGGGTTTCGGGTTTCGGGTTTCGGGTTTCGGGCCAGCAGGGCCAACAATGGAAGCGATGTTTTCACGGATGGTGAAGGTAGTCGTGGTCCGGGCAGGGATGTGGACACGCGACGTTCGCGCAGGATGGCCCCGTGTCGTTTCTAAAAAACTCAGGGGTTAGGGTTTAGGGTTCAGGGTTTAGGGTTGAGGGTTTAGGGTTGAGGGTTGAGGGTTGAGGGTTTAGGGTTTAGGGTTTAGGGTTTAGGGTTTAGGGTTTAGGGTTTAGGGTTTAGGGTGCCGAGTTTGGGTTGGGGTTTGGGTTTGGGGTCTGGAGCTTGTGGGTTTGCGGTTCAACCCCTGAACCCCAAAACCCGAAACCCGAAGAACTGAACCCTAAACTTCTTTCATGGGGTACCCGAAACCTCATCCCAAGCCGGCATATGGCTGCTTCCTAAAAAGTAGGGGGGCCCTAAAACCCTAAACCCAGCGCGCCCTAAACCCCAGACTTAAACACCAAACCCTACACCCTAAACCCTTTATAACGTCCCTAAACCCTAAATCCTAAACCCTAAACCCTAAACCCTCAACCAAAACCCTAAACCCCAAAACCCCCTAAACCCAGAGCGCCTGAAATGCTCGATTTGAGCAGAGGCTGGCTAGAGTCTTGATCCCATGCCGCTTTTCCTGACGTCACTCTCATGGTTTGAGGGTTTGGGGTTTAGGGTTTGGGGCTTGTGGCTTAGGGTTTTTGGGTTTGGGGTTTGTGGTTTGGGGTTTGGGGTTAGGGTTTGGGGTTTGGGGTTGCCGCTTTTTGTGGGGCCCCTTGCAGGCTATAGGCTTTCTTAGGGATTTGGGAAACTAGCCCGAAACCCGAAACCCGAAACCCGAAACCCTCAACATTCATAGCTGATGCTTCGATATTCTCAGGGAACCCCAATCCCAAAGCCCCCCTCCCCGAACCCCCCGTTAGCAGCAGCCCTAAACTAAACAATACTCTATACCCTAAACCCTAAACCCTAAACCCGAAACCCTAAACCCTAAACCCGAAACCCGAAAACCCTAAACCCTAGACCCTAAACCCGCGCCTTGACATTCTTTAGCACGCGCAGCGCTTGGATCAGCTCTCCATAGGACCTGGTACTCATGGCATCACACCAGTCTCCCACAAAGGGTTGAGGGTTGAGGGTTTAGGGTTGAGGGTTTACTGTAGGGTTTAGGGTTTAGGGTTTAGGGTTTAGGGTTTAGGGTTTAGGGATTAGGGTTTAGGGTTTGGGGTTCAGGGTTGAGGGTTTAGGGTTGAGGGTTGAGGGTTTAGGGTTTAAGGTTTAGGGCTTGGGTGTATAGAAGGGAAGCTCGCTGGTGCTCAAAGCGCCCGGGCCGGTCGCTTGCGTTAGCATGTAGTCCCACCCCAACCACCCAAACTATTCTCATTTAGGGTTGAGGGTTCACCCCCCAAACCCCCCTCAAGGGGGGCTTTCTTGTTCTTTACAGAGAAAGAGCAGGGTGGGGCCTCCTGAGCTTGTCAGTGGCTCGTAAGCTTCTTGGGGCCGTCGATTGCAATACTGAAAAACCCACATTTTCATTACTGGGCAAATCCTGGATCGCGGGGCTTCATGCAGCCTGAGGGCAGAAAACCGGCAGAGGGAAGCAGGGGCCTCAGCCGGCCCCTGCTTCCAACTATGAAAGCAGTCTTGCAAAGTCAAGGTCCTGAGAAGGGTTGCAGGGATTTGGAGGTCCTCAAGGGGTGCCAGGCGGCAGGAGCTTTCGGTGGGGGTCGGGGTCCAGAAGGCGGGGCCAGTTTCAAGGAGGAGAAGGGTTTCAGGGCAGTTGAGAAGCCTGGGTCGAAGCCTCGAGCGCCCAAGCAAATGGACAGCGGCGCTCTCGGCAGTTTAGGGTTTAGGGTTTAGGGTTTAGGGTTCAGGGTTTAGGGTTCAGGGTTCAGGGTTCAGGGTTTAGGGTTTAGGGTTTTGGGTTTGGGGTTTAGGGTGTCCACACCTGCAAAGCTGTCAAGCTCAACGCCGGTAAAAAAAAAAAAAAAAAACATGTCGCAACAGGTCAAACATCGTCAGATTTGTACATGGTCACTACAAGAGTCTCAACGTTCCGAAAAACTGAGAAGTCATGCGCACTGTGTCGTCTTGAATCCCGGAAAGTGCTACCTAATACCCCCAAACTCGGGATTCTAGTGTAGGACTACTAAAGGAACAGAACATCCATCCCCTCCCACTGTAAAGGGTAGCTTAGCCAGGCTTCCAACGAACTTCTACGATGTAGTCGTGACCGCACTTTTTGGGGCTGTGTACCGCACTCTGCTCAATCTGACACTAAACTTCTGGGACGCAGCCCACAGGGAAGTCTCAAGCTGCTCACCGCCCCTGTTGGCTAGCATTGGAGTGAGGGACTTCGGTAAGCCCATGAAAACCCATGTCCTGCACAGGCTGGGATAAGTAACCCCGGCCCGAAAGCCCTGAAAACCCTGAAGTTCCCTCACCTCCCTATTAAGAAATCCTAAGCTCAAGGGGGTCTCTAGACCTGACCCCGCGAGGGCAGAGCCGCACAAAAAGAAGTTAAAAGCGGCCGAGTAGTTCGGCCTTCAGCCTTCGGCCTGCCACTAAGGAGAGGAAAGGGCACACCAATTTGGGTTTAGGATGTAAGGTTGCTACTTGTAGTACGAGTAATACCGGTGGGTGGTCTGCGGACGCCCGTATCCGCGGTTTGAGTACTCTGCTCGCCTCTTGTGCCTCCAATGATGGTGCCTGTGACTGTGAGGCCTACGACGCTTCGGGTACTCCTGGGCAGCACTCGTGGTGCGGATGTCTGCTGCGGTCGTGGTTCCCGGTGCTTGGGTCGTCACCGCCTGCGTTGTTGTGGCAGGAGCACTTGTACTCGTCGCCGCCGCCTGCGTTGTAGTCGCAGGAGCACTTGTGCTAGTCGCCACCGACTGCGTTGTAGTCGCAGGTGCACTTGTACTTGTCGCCACCGCCTGCGTTGTACTCGCAGGTGCACTTGTACTTGTCGCCACCGCCTGTGTTGTACTCGCAGGTGCACTTGTACTTGTCGCCACCGACGGCGTTGTAGTCGCAGGTGCACTTGTACTCGTCGCCACCGCCTGCGTTGTAGTCGTAGGAGCACTTGTGCTGGTAGAGGTAGTGGTGGGGGGAGGTGACCCAGTGCCGAAAATTGAGAAGTGTCTTGATCTGCAGAGGGCGAAGCCAATCGGTGCAGTGCCATTGGGAGCGGTTTCTATATCCTTGTCCGACCACTCAAGCAGATCTTCATCCCAATACAAGCAGACGTCATTGTCGCTGGCTGGAAGCAGAAACTCCACAGGCGCAGTCAATCCCGACACTTGAATGGGCTCGCCCGTCTCGGTGCGGAATGTCAGACTCACAATGGAGTTTCCTGCGACCTCCGAGCTCAAAGCGAACTCCGAGGTAGGGCCCATCTGGGCCACGCTGAGAATCACACGCTCCGACCCCGCCTGCGCCGCGACCTCTTGCAGGCTGCTTAGGGGAATCGACACGGTGCCCACACTCGACACGATGTCCAAGGTGCTGTTGCCTTGACCCAGGCTTGCCAGGGAAAAACAAGGATCCCTCCAGCTTGGTGTGAAAACACCGCCCTAAACCCTGCACGCTAAACCCTAAACCCTAAACCCTAAACCCTAAACCCTAAACCCTAAACCCACAAGGGGGTTCCTGACATGCAGCCCGGCGGCTCGAGTTGGTATCATTCGCCACAGCCGCAAGAGCGGCGGGGTCTATGAGGGTCAGCTGCAACTCTTGGTTCAGGGAGGTGTTGACCACAACCTTAGCTTTGGAGTATACCCTGGAAAAAAAAGTATATACTTTTTAGGTCATAAGTAGCTATAATAGGAACCCAGAACCAAAAAAAGTATATTAAAGTTTAGTACTCCAAAGCCCAGCAACGGTTGCCACAATCCCTGTGCTATTGCTGGAGTTGCTCGTATTGAGGAGGTCCTCAAGAGCAGCCTCCACCGCCTCTGTCTCTGCTTGGTTCACCTGGAAAAGCACGAGAGAGCAGCCCATACTCCACAGGACTACAGCGTAGACCCCCAGGTTTTTGCAAGGCTCTTTAACAGGGATTCTCAGAGGAAATACTGCAATCCCTATTGAGGACTGCTAGTCTGAGGTGGAACATCCCAATGAAAGACCAGGGCATCCGATGAGCGCACTGCGAACATGCCGAAACACCGAAGAGCCCTTGAAGAGCTCCCAAACAGCGATGACGGCGAGTATGCACCAGGGAACGAACCCATCAAAAACAGCCCCCCCCGCCCCCACATGCAGGGGGAAGTCCCTGAAAAACGGCACGCCCCCAGGCGAGAGCGCGATTTGGACCCACAACAACGCGAATCCCTAGGTGACAAGGGGCATGTGCGATCGGGTCAGCCGCGCACGGGCGTGACCGTGACCCACAAGGACGATCCGTGCCCCTTCACACCCGAGCTTGGAACCCCGTCATGTCTTTGGATCGCTTCGGAGTATCCTGGAAGCTATGTGGCCCTGGGACCATAGGACCCTGTGTATCCCTTTCGAATCCACAAGTAACAGAAACAAGAACAGGCTGATCCCCCCCAAGTGCCGCGCCTCCTCCGTAAGTTCTCCAAAGTCGACGGTCGAGGTAGTAGAGGTGGTCGTGGTGGTGAATACGCTCGAAACAGTTGGGGGAAACCGGCACAAGGTGGGTACGGGATTGCTGCAGCCGGCATAAAGCCGACAGTTCTCCTGGCAGGAGTGAAGCTCCACATCCCCTTGCACCTGGCTGCTGTTGTAGAAGGCCATGACAGTGCAACCTCGGCTGCCCCCCCCCAGTAACCTAGGATTAAACAGGGGGTTCCCCTGTTTATTGCTATTCAAGGGTTCTTGACAAGGGAACCTAAAAGCCCCCACCCTAAACCCTAAACCCTAAACCCTAAACCCTAAACCCTAAACCCTCAACCCTAAACCCTCAACCCTAAACCCTAAACCCTAAACCCTAAACCCTAAACCCTAAAAGCCATCAACCACTACTCGGCATCCTGGCAGCTCTCGATCCGATCGCAGAAGGCCCTGCACTCCGCCTCAGAAGTCACTGGCAAGGCGAGGACCTGGTCGCCGGGGCAATACTTGCCCGCCAGCCTTGGGAGAAGAATTAACAACCCTAAACCCTAAACCCTAAACCCTAAATCCTAAACCCTAAACCCTAAACCCTAAACCCTAAACCCTAAACCCTAATTTTGACTCTCTTTGTTCCTTTTTTGGTGGGTTCAGGTGCACCTAAAATTCCGTTTATTGGGTTCAAGTACACTTAAGAATTCATTTTGGGGCTTCATGTACCCTTAAAGATGTAACATGTGACGCAACGACGACAGAGCAGCTGCTCCTGCTGCGCGTAACTCTTTGTGGGCGCGTCGATGCTTGCGTTTGTGGCTTTGAAGTAGTTGAGGGGCACGGCGACATCTTGGCACACGGACACACGCTGGAACTCGCAGTCTCTGTAGAATGCGCACTGGTAGCAACGACTCAGGGCAGTGGAATTGTCAGAGCCGTACCAGCCATAAGCAACACAGCTCGGATCAGATGCACAGATCTGCTCGCACACGTCACGGCGTAAGACCTTTTTGAGAGTCAAAAATGCGCCACTGATGCGGTCCGAGGCATTGTAACAATACATACCATCGAGTGTTGCGTTGCGTTCGAAGGACACCTTGGTTGCCTAGGGAAAAAGGGTGCCCACTGTGTTGTTCAAAAGGGTTTACAAGGGAACCCGACCCAAGAAAACCCTAAACTAAACCCTCAACCCTAAACCCTAAACCCTAAACCCTAAAAGTGAATAAGGGTACTGCTGCACATCCCGGCCACACTGGAAGACCTTGAGTCGACCAACCCTGCAGCCATCAGAGTTGCCATCATCCACATGGCTACACAGCTGCGCTAGGGTTTAGGGTTTATGGTTTCGGGTCCTAAACCCTAAACCCTAAACCCTAAACCCTAAACCCTAAGTTCTAGCATGGCAGTAACATGGGACGCCATATGCGAAGATTGCTCACTCGCACGTGCTGGCTGATCAACCTGCTGACAGCTCCTGTGGCTGCGGCAAAAACTTGGTTTGCACCGCTTGGTCCTCCTTTGCTTTTTTGGGACAAGGGGCTCTTCCATTCAGGGAGACGCATCTTCAGCCCAACACCCTGTGAAACCCTGCACTCCTACGATCTGCATGGAAGAACGTCCCCAATCAGGCATCTCATGATTGGGACCCTTACGCTGAAAACAACGGTCGGCAAACATGCGGGGCGACTGTTACCTGCTTTGGAAGAAAGACAGCCCTTACTTGGGATAGCTAGGATGCTTAAGGACAGGCTGTTCCCGTCATAGCAACACAAGAGAAAACAAAACGAAAGAGACTAAACCGCCAAACTGCAAACCCGAAACCCTGAACCCCATCCTAAGCCCTAACCCCAACAAAAGCAAGCGCCAGTTTGAACGTTTGCTGCATGCTCGACTCAACAGCCATAAACTCCATACGGCGTTTTTCAGGGTTTGGGGCTGGGATGTTCTCCCTTCTACAAACAGTCCTTAGTAGGGACTATAATGGGGGGTCCCTAAACCCTAAACCCTAAACCCTAACCCTAAAACCTAAACCCTAAACCCTAAACCCTAACTCCCAAACCCCAAAATCCCGATTAAGGACTGCCCAAGTTTGGGGTTACTTGCTGCCTCTGGTTTCCCGCCATTGGGGCAAAAACGCAAGCAACTTCAAACCAGGGGAGCCCTTCCCCGAAAAATGACGCCTTAAACCCTAAACCCTACCCTAAACCCTAAACCCTAAACCCTAAACCCTAAACCCTAAACCCTGGGGGCCCCGGCGACATCGCGAGGTTGGGGCGCTACGGGCCCTAGCACCCGCGCGCTCCGATCCTCTTTCGGGGCTGTGACCCCTCGCCTCAGCGCTGAGGAGTTTAGGGCGGAGGGTTGGGGGTTTAGGGTTTAGGGTTTGGGGTTTGGGGTTTGGGGTTTGGGGTTTGGGGTTTGGGGGCTTGGGGGCTTGGGGGCTTGGGGGCTTGGGTTGGGGTTGGGGGTTTGGGGTGCGGCGTCTTTGAGCTCGGGGCCTGCGCTTTCTGGCACCGAAATCTGCGAGGATTCCCACGATAGGCTTTCGGCATTCAGGGCTTCAGAGACCCCGAAAGACCCTAAACCCCCTAAACCGCCTAAACTCCCTGAACCCCCCCTAAACCCTAAACCCTAAACCCTAAACCCTAAACCCTAAACCCTAAACCCTAAACGCAAGAAGTTTTCCCTTTACTGCTCAGGAGCCAGCGGCAAGTCAATCTTCTTCAGCCATCCTCTTTCTGTTGACGCACTACCTTTGAGCACAAACCTTGCGGCGGCTTGGGGCTTCGAACTTTAGGGGCTTAGGGTGTAGGGTTCAGGGTTTAGGATTTAGGATTTAGGGTTTAGGGTTTCGGGTTTCAGGTTTAGGGTTTAGGCTTTCGGGTTTAGGGTTTAGGGCTTCGGGTTTAGGGTTTAGGGTTTCGCGTTTACGGTTTAGGGTCTCGTGTTTATGGCGGGCTGCGCATGCCGGAGCTGCTGAAAGCACATCTGCGAAATTCATCCTCCATGGCCTAAACTCTGACCCTGGGGCCGGACTCAAACGCAAAGCTCCAAACCCCAAAACCCCAAATCCTAAACCCTAAACCTAAACCCACAACCTAAACCCCTAAACCCGTAAACATCCCAAGACTACCCAACCCAGGGCCAACTCCTGCGGGGGTACCGGAGCAGGCTTGTCCTGGGTCCCCACAGGCCCAGCAGTCCCCAAGCAAACAGATACCACGACACGCGCCCTTTAGGGTTTAGGGTTTAGGGTTTAGAGTGTAGGGTTTAGGGTTTAGGGTTTAGGGTTTAGGGTTTAGGGTTTAGGGTTTTAGGGTTTAGGGTCGGAGCCTTGGGCCGCATGCCTCATTTTCCTGGTTTCGCCTTGGGCAGGACCAGCTGCCGGGTCCGGTGGACCAGGCGAGCTACGCAGCTGCAGCGAAGCCTCTGGCAGTGGCTTAGGGTTTAGGGTTTAGGGTTTAGGGTTTAGGGTTTAGGGTTTAGGGTTTAGGGTTTAGGGTTTAGGGTTTAGGGTTTAGGGTTTAGGGTTTAGGGTTTAGGGTTTAGGGTTTAGGGTTTAGGGTTTAGGGATACGGAGGTTTCAGGGCTGTGGGTCACGAGCATCAGGGGCATGGCGTCCTCAACCATTTCACATCCCGGCCATGTTGAGGCAGCCGGCACATCCTTTAGCCCCTCCCCACTCATGCCAGAAGACCCGGTAGCAACAAGTCAGCCGTCAACCCTAAACCCTAAACCCTAAACCCTAAACCCTAAACCCTAAATCCTAAACCCTAAACCCTAAACCCTAAACCCTGCACTTGATGAGTCCTTTTTCCTGGGTGTGGGCTTCGCTTGCCAGCCCTCCATCGATGTTCGCCTTTGAGATCCCCGTAGACTCGACCAAGCATCACCCCGCTGAGACCCCTACGCTGCAGGGCTGGTGCGAAGGAACGGACAAACTGTGTGAAGTTATCACAAACCTGCAGAAGCCACACTGTGCTGTTATCTGATAATGGCGTCTGGCTGCTTAGTTGAAGCAACAGGAGTACCAACTGAGGAAACCAAATCAATAAATTCTTTCATCTATATGATTCTGACCGCCTAGTTTCCTCGGAGCTGAGAATCATGAACCCAAAGCCCTAAACCCTAAACCCTCAACCCTGAACCCCAAACCCTAAACCCTAACCCCCAAACCCGAAACCCTAAGCCCTAAACCCTAAACCCTAAACCCCAAACCCGAAACCCTAACCCCCTAACCCTAAACACAGACGAGGACCCGCGCCTAGGCGACTCGGAACCTCACCGGCTTGATGGTCAGGTCCTGGACCAAATCTGGGAAATGAACCCCCAAAATATTCAATTCCATAGCCCCCCCCCCCGTCCTTCCCCCTCTAAGCTTTAAGGTTTAGGGTCTTGGGGTAGGGGTATTCCGAACCTGTTCCTGAGAACCTTTTTTTTTGCAGCATGAGTATTAGGGTGGTAGCCTTCCCACTCTCAACTTGAAGGTTTAGGGCCTTGAAGGGGTCGGCTTGGGGCGTTGGGCGTACGGCTCCCCAGAATCGAGACGACCCCCCCTGAAGCCCCAAACAAACCCCCCAGGCCTCAAAAACACGCTGGGCTGGGGGATTCAATGATTTAGGGTCTAGGGTGGGTCAACCCTAAACCCTAAACCCTAAACCCTAAACCTCTCTTTCATATAATAATTTAAACCGTAATGACCTTCGCGGTTTAAGGCCCAGTATTCGTGGTTTAAGGCACAGAAATCGTGGTTTAAGGCCGGCCGTTCCCTTCGGGCTTAAACCAACGAATTCTGGGCCTTAAACCACGAATTCTGGGCCTTAAACCACGAAGGTCATTGGGTTTAAATTTAAACCTTAATGACCTTCGTGGGGTTTAAGGCCGGTCGTTCCCTTCGGCCGTAAACGCTTAAGGCCCATAATTCGTGGCTTAAGGCCCATAATTCGTGGTTGTTTAAGGCCCATAATTCGTGGTTTCAGGCCCCGTGGTTTAAGGCCCATAATTCGTGGTTTAAGGCCCGTGGTTTAAGGCCCATAATTCGTAGTTTAAGGCCCGTGGTTTAAGGCCCGTGGAGACGCAATGGCAAGAATCTGAAGTTAATAATATGAAGTGTGTTTGTTGTGTCTGTTGGTTTAGGCTGTGAAACTCAAATGATTGGAGAATGCTTGTGTTTTTGTTTTTCTCAATGTTATGGGATTCTCTGGGTGGGTGGGTGTTATATCAGAGCCGTAAATAAACTTTACCATAAAACTGCTCGATCCGGAGCTGCTGAATCTTAAACCCTAAACCCTAAGCCCTAAACCCTAAACCCCAAACCCTAAACCCCAAACCCTAAACCCTAAACCCCAAGCCCTAAACCCAGCCCGGGGCCTGCACATTCAGGAGAAGGAGGCTTGGCTCCTCTGTGAAATCGGGGATGCAGATGACGGCCGCCTCCTTGAGTAGCGGTTTAGGGTTTAGGGTTTAGGGTTTAGGGTTTAGGGTTTAGGGTTTAGGGTGTAGGGATTAGGGTTTAGGGTTTAGGGTGTAGGGTGTAGGGTTTTGGGTTTTGGGTGTAGGGTTTAGGGTTTAGGGTTTAGGGTGTAGGGATTAGGGTTTAGGGTGTAGGGTGTAGGGTTTTGGGTTTTGGGTGTAGGGTTCAGGGTTTGGGGCTCGGTGCTCAGGGCTGAGGGTTCTGGGTACAGGGTTTTATGGTTTTTTTAGGGTTTTTGTGGGGTTTTGGAGGGTTTTATGGGGTTTTATACGGTTTTTATGGGGTTTTATCGGGTTTTATGGGTATAGAGTATAGAGGTTTCGGACTTCGGGATTCGGACTTTAAGGTTTCGTGCTCACGGTTTGGGTGCTTCAGCTTAGCACTTTAGGGTCTTGGGCGTAGGGTCTAGGGTTTCGGGTGTGGTGTAGGGCTTTGGGCTTCTTGCAGGTTTCGGTTTCGGGATGTCGGGTTGAGGGCTTTAGAGTTTAGTGGGTCGGTGTGGCGGCTTGGGGATACGGGACCTGGCATGACGAGCGTGGCGCAGGAAACTCACGAACACGCAAGCACGTGTGCTTGACCCGGGCGTTTGGGCTTTGAACCTGAAAGCCCTCAACCCCAAATCCTTCAATCCTTCAACCCGAAACCCTTACAAACGCTAAACCCTAAACCCTAAAACCCTAAAACCCTAAAACCCTAAAACCCTAAACCCTAAAATCCTAACACCCTAACACCCTAAAACCCTCAACCCCACATCCCTCTGCCCCTCAAGCTCACAATCTGCCTCGTTGGCACCTTCCACGCCAGGTCCGCTCACGCGCTCCTGGGGTGTGAGGGCTTCATGGGGTTAAAGCGCTTGAGGGCTTCGACTTAGGGGTTTAAGGCTTTAGGGTTTTAGGGTTGAGGGTTTAGGGGTTTAGGGCTTAGGGTTTAGGGTTTCGAGTTTAGGGTTTAGGGCTTGGGGAATGCAGGCAATTAAGGAATGTCGGGTGTTTTGCGCAGGGTCGAGGAATAAGGTTCGTATTCCTCACGCCCTAAACCCTAAACCCTAAACCCTAAACCCTAAACCCTAAACCCTACACCTTGTTACCACACTTCTTTTGTGACCCAATAGTCCACCGGCAGAAAGGTTTCCGTGCGAGACAGAACAAGAAGAGGGAGAAAGTCCAGGCTTAGGCCCGAAACCGTAAACCCTAAACCCTAAACCCTAAACCCATACCCTAAACCCTAAACCCTAAACCCTAAACCCTAAACCCTAAACTGAATTTAAGACCCTAGGCCCCCATGCAACGTTTAGGGTTCGGTGTTTCAGGTTCCCTCAACTCCAAGCCATCCCAAGCATCACTGCAACCCCCCCAAGATCTCTGAACCCTAAAACCCAAACCCTAAACCCTAGAACCTAAACCCTAAACCCAAAACTACCCTAAACCCTAAACTACCCCAAACTATCCTAAACCCTAAACCCTAAACCCTAAACCCTAAACCCTAAACCCTAAACCCTAAACCCTAAACCCTAAACCCTAAACCCTGACCCTAAACCCTACACCCTAAACCCTGAACACAAGTCCCTGATCCCAAACCCTAAACCCGAAACCCTGAACCCTCAAACCCTGAAATCGGCCCAAGGCACCCAGGTCGCCTCACCGCAGTTGCCCGCAAAAAGGACGGCCCGGCCGCAAGCCTTCAGAACTTCATCCTAAACCCTAAACCCTAAACCCTAAACCGCTTAACCCCTAAACCCTTGAACCCTAAACCCTAAACCCTTAGACCCTTGAACCCTAAACCCTAAACCCTGAACTCCAAACCCTAAACCTAGACCCCAAACCCTAAACTCTCAACTCTTAACCCTCAACCCCAAGCCCTAAACCCCAAACCCTAAACCCCAAACCCTGGCCGGTGGTAGCGGGGTTTTGGCTCAGGGTTGGAGACTTAGGGTTCCGGGCTTGAGGGGTCTGAGATTTGCGTTCTAGGGCTTTGGGGTTTAGGGTTTGATTGGGGTTTAGGGTTTAGGGTTTAGGGTTTAGGGTTTAGGGTTTAGGGTTTAGGGTTTAGGGTTTAGGAGTTAGGGGGATCATGTTAGGGTTTTGGGAAGTAAGGGTGTGGGAGATGTGGCGTTTTGGGGCCCCGCTGTTGCTGCAGGACAAGGCCTGAGGAGCCGCGGGGATCGCGAAGGGGTCCGACAACCTTGGACATGCACGGGATGCAGGGGAGGAGATGCAACTTCAGGGTACAAGGTTTGGGGTTTAGGGTTTAGGGTTTAGGGTTTAGGGTTTGTTTGGGGTTTAGGGGTTTAGGGGTTTAGGGGTTTAGGGTTTAGGGGTTTAGGGTTTGTTTGGGGTTTAGGGGTTTAGGGGTTTAGGGCCCTGCTGGGTGCCCGAAACGGTAAGGAATATGCCACGTCAGAGACCCAAACATGGTCATAGGTGCGACTTCAAGCCAGAAATCTGATCCAACCAGGGTTTAGGGTTTCGGGTTTAGGGATTAGGTTTAGGGTTTAGGGTATAGGGTTTAGGGTTTAGGGTTTAGGGTATAGGGTTTAGGGTTTAGGGTTTAGGGTTTAGGGTTTAGGGTTTAGGGATTCGGGTTTAGGGTTTAGGGTTTAGGGTTTGGGGTTTGGGGTTTGGGGTTTAGGGTTTAGGGTTTGGGGTTTGGGGGAAGATAACCGTGACGGGTTGAGGCTCCAGGGTTCAGGGATCTGGGGCTTAGGGTGGTTCAGGGCAAGGCACACACGAAGCAGGTTCTCTTCTGAAACGCTGTGCACTTGATGGCTCACGGGCACTCATATGTAGGGGCACGAGTACCCTAAACCCTAAACCCTAAACCCTAAACCCTAAACCCCTAAACCCCTAAACCCCTAAACCCCTAAACCCCTAAACCCTACACCACACTCGAAAACCCTAGCTGCCACCACTCCTAGTCTTGCAAGATGCCCCCCAAAAATCTCGAGTCTCACCTAAAGGGGTTTGGGTGCCAGTGGTTTAAGGGCTCTGGGGGTTTAGGGGGTTTAGGGCTTTCGAGGTTAGGGTTTAGGGTTTAGGGTTTAGAGCTTAGGGGGTTGGGGCCCCGAGCTGTCAGAAGGAAATGTCTGGCTAAAATGTCTGGCTGAACATGTTGTGATGCTGGGACTCAATTTACCTACAGCGGGGGTGTAGGGGTTTGGTTTAGAGGTGTAGGGGTGTAGGGGTTAGGGGTTTAGGGTTTAGGGTTGAGGGTTGAGGGTTGAGGGTTGAGGGTTTAGGGTTTTTAGGGTTTCAGTCGATGCCACGGAACCCTGAGCCACAACTTTCGCGAAAGGCCTCAAGGGGGGAGATCTTTAGGGTTTAGGGTTTAGGGTTTAGGGTTTAGGGGGGTCTCGGCCAGCTTTTCTGTGATTTCGTCAGTTCTCCGCGTTCTTTGCTTGCTTTACTTTGTTTTTTTTGTTTGTTTGTTGTTTTTTTTTGGGGGGGGGGGGTGGCGGTCCATTCTGAACCCTGAGGCTGGATCTTTGGAGGGCTTCTTTCAGGTTTTCCTTGGGAGGCTCTCAGGCCTCCGTACCTGAGTCTTGACCCTAAACCCTAAACCCTAAACCCTACACCCTAAACCCTAAACCCTACACCCTAAACCCTAAACCCTAAACCCTAAACCCTAAACCCTAAACCCTGCGTCTTTTAGGGGGCTTGGGTTTAGGGGGTCCTCAGAGGTCTTTGGGTCCACTCCGCGCTGTCTCCTGTGAGGCCTTCCCACCTCCTTGCTTTGTTGATCTCTTGGAATGTTATTGTCCCTTATATTAACAGCTCCTTTATGGGGATTCTAGTAGCCCCCTATTCGAATCCCTGTTAAGGACTGCTAGTATAAGGGTAAACATCCCAAGCGATCTCCTTCTTATCCTATGTTTTCCGGTGCTTCCACGTTCTTGCGCATTGGTACCGTCGCGATGATTGCTCTTGTTGTTCTTAGTGCCAAGAGTCGCGAGACTTGATGCTCTTGTCTGTTTTCTTCGCAACCACAGCCATGAAATGTTCGCAGATGTGACACTGTTACTGCCGTTATACCTACCATTATTGTTAATTAATGTTCATTCCGTGGGATTCAAGGCCTCGCACGGTCCCTCAAGCTGCGCATGTTGGGGCTCAGGATTTTGCTTTGAGAAGCCCACAAATATTCCACACACACACACACACACACTCACAAACAAACAGATAAGCCCACCAAAGAGAAGCAAGGAGATCAAAATAAAGTCCGCGAACCTACCCCGCTCCCACCCCCCAAGAGCAATCTCGAGAATGCCGAAACCCAAGCCGAGCAAGTCCAACAATGTCGGGGGTTTCATGCCAAACCCCCCTCCTGAATTGGGTACCCTTCCAGAAAGCTGCCTGAACCCGAAACCCTACCCTAAATCGTAAACCCTAAACCCTAAACCCTAAACCCTAAACCCTAAAGCGCCAAAAGCCTAAAGCCCAAACCCCCGGATGGATCTGAACTGAAGCTTACCGTAAAACCAACTGGCAGGATCCGCTGCGCCCTACTTGGAGGTTCATGGTACTTATGAACCAATGATAACTGTGTAGTTTAGGGTTTAGGGTTTAGGGTTTAGGGTTCAGGGTTCAGGGTTTAGGGTTTAGGGCTTAGGGTTCAGGGTTCAGGGTTTGGGGTTATAACTGTACTTTTAACTGTACTTATAACCGGGGCTAATGAGGGGTTATCGGTACAGCTCTAATCGGTTCATAAGTACCATGAACCTCCAAGTAGAAGGGGGACCCAAACAAGATCTCCCCCGACTTGGAGGTTCATGAGTGCTTGTAAGTGGGTTAGAAGTAGGGTATTATGGAAAAAAAAGCCGTATTTAGGGGACTTAGAACCCTAAGCCCTAAACCCTAAACCCTAAACCCTAAACCCTAAACCCTAAACCCTAAACCCTAAACCCTAAACCCTAAACCCTAGTTAAAAGTACCCATGAACCTCCAACGGCGAAGAAAAGCCCCCCAAGAAATGGCCTGCAGGCGCTCCTTGTCCACAAGGAACTCGGGCCACCTGGGGGCCAGGTGGCGACGGTGCCTCCATGACGATGTTTGGGGTTTAGGGTTTAGGGTTTAGGGTTTGGGGTTTGGGGTTTGGGGTCTAGGGTTTAGGGTTTAGGGTTTTCCTTTTTTATTTGTTCCCCACCCTCGGTGTGGGGTTGTTAAAATCATGAACTCAACTCCTCTCCTCGCCCGGAACACTTCTCCTCGCCCGGTCTACTCCTCGCTCATCCCTGGAGTGCCCCTTCTTTTTGTCGGCCCACAGTTTGTAGGGTTTAGGGTTTAGGGTTTAGGGTTTAGGGTTTAGGGTTTAGGGTTTAGGGTTTAGGGTTTAGGGTGTAGGGTTTAGGGTTTAGGGTTTAGGGTTTAGGGTTTAGTGGAGTGCCCAGGCGCAGAGTGTCCCCGGAGTGCCCAGCCCCGGAGTCTCCCTGAGTGTCACCGGACTGCCCAGCCACCTGGAGTGCCCAACCCCGGAGTATCTCTAGCAAGAGAGCGTGGGGATGTTCGAAGTGAAATAACTTTATGTGTTTTTTGGGCGGGGGGGGGGGGGTTAGGGTGTAGGGTTTAGGGCTTCTCGGCTTCCAGTTGCGAGTTCGAGACGTGCACAATTTGGGCAAAAAGAAGATGTCGACTGAGCAGCGTCGTGCGAAAACCCCGCCGAAACGCAGCAAACCACGACCCCCTGTAGACCCAAGTAGAAAACCCGAAACCAGGAATCAAACATCCTATTACAAGCCCTCTTGCCCTGGAACCCTCGAAGCCCGCTACCCCCGATTTTTAAGCCTCATCCCCTGCAAATCCTAAAGCCTACGCCCATCAAAGACCTCAACTCTCAACCCGAAACCCTAAAAACCTCTCTCTCTGACAACGGGCGGGCCAGCAAGCGACCAAAGTGTCCAGGGCAGTCGCTGGTTCCGAGGCGTTGCCTCCCCGCGCTCGCGTTGCAGGCTCAGGGTTGGGGGTTTAGGGTTTCTATAGCCTGAAACCCTAAACCCTAAAGGGGGTGGGGGGGTGATTTAGGGGTTGAGGTTTTTGGAGGTTTAGGGCTTGGGGTTTAGGGATTTAGGGTTTAGGGTTTAGGGTTCAGGGTATGGGGCTAGGGTTTCGGGTTCAGGCTCAAGTTCCGGAACTTGCTGGGCCCCCGGCGCAAAGCGAGCTGCAAAGGTTGACCCGCGTGGCCGACGACCTGGCCAACGGTCCGAAACTGACTCCAAAAAGTTAAGTCTACTTGGAGGTTCATGGGTACTTGTCAGTAGGGTTGTAAGTAGGGTAGTTATAACCGTACTTAGGGGACTTAGAACCCTACTTATAAGTACCCATGAACCTCCAAGTAGGGCTTTGGGTTTACCCCTAAACCCTTAGACCCTGAACCCTATGTCCTTTCTCGGGTTCCGGGCATCTTCCCACCTGGAGCTCTGCAGTTTTGAGCTTAAGGTTTAGGGCGCCCCTAAACCCTAAACCCTACATCTTAGGGTTCTAGGGTTCTGGGGTTCTAGGCCTTCGGGTTTCGGGCCTGCGGGGTTGGTTCGCGTGGCGCCTTGGGGTTGGGGGTTTGGGGGGTGTTTTGCCAGGTCAAGGGAGCTTTTGGCTGAATAAACCCCAACCCCCAAACCCCAAACCCTAAACCCTAAACCCTGAACCCTGAACCCTGTCTCCCCTAAACTAGGCCCTAAACCCTAACCCCAAACCCTAATTCCCAAACTCTAAACCCTAAACCCCAAACCACAAGAAACGCCCCCGTGAGCCCCCAAGGCCTCCGTAAACCCTTTTGGGTTTAGGGCTTAGGGTTTAGGGTTTAGGGTTTAGGGCTTACTTAGGGTTTAGGGTTTAGGGCTTAGGGTTTAGGGTTTAGGGTTTAGGGTTTAGGGTTTAGGGCTTAGGGTTTCGGGTTTAGGGTTTAGGGTTTCGGGCAAACCCTAAACCCCCGAACCCCAAAACCTCTTGCGAGCTCAGTGGGGCCTGGAGGTCTCCCTCGACGTGGCAATGCGGGTTGGCCCAGAGCTCCAAGTTTCCGGTCCTTTCGGAGGGTAGGGTTTGGGGTTTAGGGGTTTAAGGGTTTAGGGTCTAGGGTGTAGGGTTTAGGGTGTAGGGTGTAGGGTCTAGGGTTTGGGGTTTAGGATTTATGGTTCAGGGTTTAAGGGCTGTCGGCCTAGGGGGGGTTTAGGGCTTTACGGCCGTAATAGAGGAGCCGAGCCTGCGGCATCTTGGGAAAATGGCGAAGGGCGGCGCCAGCTGAGGCAACCTCGCAGGGGAGTGGTTTGCTCAGGGTGCTTGGGCGGTTAGACGGCTCGACTCGGGAAACTCGGCTAACAGGAAACGAGACGACTCTTAGGAAACCAGGCGATTCAGGAAATTGTCGGACACTGCCCGATTCTGGAAGCTAGCCGATTCAGCAGAGTCGCCGCGGAAATGCCCCCATTCAAGCAACTCCCCAAAGGAAGGCTAGGGGTTAGGGTTTAGGGTTTAGGGGTTAGGGTTTAGGGTTTAGGGTTTAGGGTTTAGGGTTTAGGGTTTAGGGTTTAGGGTTTAGGGTTTATTCCAAATCCAGGGTTTACGAAACATAGGGGACCCGCAACAGAGATCCCCAAATAGTAGCGTTCCCTTATAGTAAGGACCCGAATAAGGCACCCGAAATTTCCGAAACCCCCAATTCGCCTGTGCAAGTTTCCCTATCGGTGCTGCCCGAGCCCCCGTTCCCAGAATCAGTTCCTGAATCGGGCAGTTTCCCGAATCGCGCAGCTTCCACAACCAGTTTCCTTGAAGCGCGAGGCAGCTCCCTGAATCCTGGCTTCCTAAGCCGCGGCTACTGAATCGTGGAACTTCATGTGTGGGCCTCTGAAACCTAAACCCCAACACCCCCAAAACCACCTGGAACACCCCCAAAGCACCCTACACGCTTGCACCCAACACCCTCACTTCCTCCACCCCCTCAGAGCCCTCCTCAACCCTAAACCCTAAACCCTAAACCCTAAACCCAAAACCCTAAACCCTAAACCGTGGGGGCTGGCTTCACCAGCCCTCTGCCAAAACTCCTGGAGCTCGAGCCCCCCCCGGCATCCTGAAACCCTGAAACCCTGAACACACCAAGCACCCAAAACACACCCTAAACCCTAAACCCTAAACCCTAAACCCTAAACCCTAAACCCTAAACCCTAAACCCTAAACCCTCCAAAAAAGCACACGAGCTCTGCCCCAAAATCCTCAGATCCCCTAGGCCCGGCTTCGAAACTCTCGCCAACTGGGGTGTCCCCGAACTTTTCAACACACTCAAACCCTCGGCCAGCTTGCTGCTGACACTTACCATGCTATAGATAGACTCTCAACCCCTAACGCCTATGAAACTACCTCAACCTGAATATCCCAGGCCCCCAAAAAACACAAAACCATAGACCCCAAACGCCCAACACTGCCGCCTGGTTGACACGCCACAGTCGCCTGGCACGGTGAGGACTTGGGGGTTGGGCGATGTAGGGCTATTTGGGGCTTATTGGGTTTATAGGGCTTGTAAGGCTAATAGGAACTTGTACTTTATGGGATTTATGTGTTTTTAGGGTTTACTTGGCTTCTGGGGCTTGTAGGGCTTCGCGTGCAGGCCTTATCCATGGCGGTGTCATGGGAACTTCTGCTGCCCCCACCCTAACTCTCCCCAATACCCAAGACGGGGCCCAGGGGCTCCGGGTTTACAGTTTAGGGTTGAGGTTTTAGGGTTTAGGGTTTAGGGTTGAGGGTTGAGGGTTTAGGGTTTAGGGTTTAGGGTGAGTGGTTTAGGGTTTAGGGTTTAGGGTTGAGGGTTTAGGGTTTAGGGTTTAGGGTTTAGGGTTCAGGGTTTAGGGTTTAGGGGTTTAGGGCTTAGGGTTCTAAACCCTGAACCCTATGAAGCCATGAGTCGCAGGAGCCAATGGCTTGGGATTCTTACCGCCAAGGGCTGGGGTCTGGTCTGCACTGTCGGGATGGATGCCCTCTCATATGACTTATATGCACACACGCTCCCTTCCCGGGCCTTCTCCACTCATGATGCACAACCTCGGTGAACGGCTTTTTCCAAGGTGTCTGAGGTCCTGGTTCCAACATGCAGAAGGCACTCCCAGCTACAAATCCGGCATCAGTTGCCTCATGAAGAAGGTGGCGCAGCAAAAAGAAACAAGAGCACAATTTGGGATGCTCCCCCTAATACTAACAGTCCTTCATAGGGATTACAATAGGGGAGGGGGGGCGAACTAGGGAACTAGAATACCCTTTTAAGGAGCTGTGAATATAAGGGGGAGCATCCCCACAGCATTCTGGAAGACCCGGCCGTAGGTGACACGCCAGGGGCCCCAGGAATAGGTCGGCCTGGAAAAAAAAAAAGCATCTGGGGTATATATATATATATGTGCATGAAAAAACGGGATATACAAATATCGGTTTTCCAGATATACTCTGTTTGTTGCTGCGTCATGTGGACACGTACTCGAGGCAATTCTGCACATCTATGTCTACCGATCTACAACCCTGACCCCTAAACCCTGGACCTGGAGCCCTGAACGCTCAACCCTAAACCCCAAACCCTCAACCCTAAACCCCCAACCCTAAACCCTAAACCCTAAACCCCAAACCCTAAACCCTAAACCCCAAACCCTAAACCGCGCCGTCCTCGTCGGCCGCTGCCGCCGCAAAGGATCTCCGCGCCTTGGAGGTCACCAAAGGTTCATTCAGGGGCTTTTGGGGGGGTAGGTTCCGGGGTTCAGGGGTTTGGGGTTTGGGGTTTGGGGTTTGGGGTTTAGGGTTTAGGGTTTAGGGTTTAGGGTGTTTAAAAGTTTATAGCCTTACTTTAAGGCTCTTCAGGGTTTAGAGGGTAGAGGTTTTCGGGGTCTACGCGGGGGGTTTGGAGGATTTAGGGTTGTTTAGGGTTGTTTTGGGGCTTAGGGTTTCGGGTTTCAAGCTTCGGGTTGGGGGAGCGGTGGTGTTGTTTCTGGTGCTCTCAACTTCAAGCCCGAAGCCCTAAACCGACCTCAACAAGGGTTTAGGGACCTGAGGGCTAGGAGGCAGTAGGGGCCTTTGGGAATTGAAGGCTTGGGGAACTGAGGGGCTTTTAAGAGGTTAAGGCGGGGGTAGGGGGGGGGTCGGAGTCCCATCCCTTCCTAAATCAGGGTCTCTTCTTCGGACCCCTCAGCCCTAAACCCTTAACCCTAAACCCTAAACCCCAATCGTAACATGGCACTCTTGTGGGTGGTTGTCAAAACTATGATCCCTTTTGGGGTACCCTGAATATTAGGTGCCGTACTATAATAGGGATCCAAAAAGGGGCCAGAATTTTGACGACCGCCCTTATAGACGGCAGGCATCGAAGAGCCTTCAAACCCAGCGGCCTCCAAACCCTAAACCCCAAACCCCAAACCCTAAACCCTAAACCCTAACCCTAAACCCTAAACTGGGCTTAGGTCTTCGGGCTGACGGTGTTCCCGGCTTTGGGGTTGAGAGTTTAGGGTTTAGGGCTTGGGGTTTAAGATTTAGGATTCAAGGTTTAGGGTTTAGGGTTTAGGGTTTAGGGTTTAGGGTTTAGGGTTTAGGGTTTAGGGTTTAGGGTTTAGGGTTTAGGGTTTAGGCTCTGGGGTTTAGGGATTTTGGGGGTCGAGGATTGGCTTGCCGGCCTTCTCAGACACAGGCAGGCGGGGCCTCTTCGGTCGCCCGCCAAGGCCTCAGGAGAACAGCAAAACCCGAAACCCTAAACCCTAAACCCTAAACCCTAAACCCTAAACCCTAAACCCTAAACCCTAAACCCAAAATCCCCTGAGCCCCAAATCCCCTGAGCCCCAAAGCCTAAACCCTGAGCCCTGAACCCTAGGACCCTGAATCCTAAATCCTAAAACCCCTGAACCCTTGAACCGAAGCCATGAAGCACAAACCCTAACTCTTAAGACCCTAGACCTAAGACGCTTTATCCTAAACCCTACGACCCTAAACCCTAAACCCTAAAATCTAGGCGGTAGCTTGAGAGTTGTTGCTCGTATGTGTTTGGGCTTTCGGGTTTAGGGTTGGGGTTCAGGCTCTGAAAATCCGAAGAAAAGAAAAGCTCAAAGACCCAAAACCGCATTGAAGGAAGATGCGCTGAAGCAACCCAGGGTTCATGCATGGCTTCTGCATCGGGTCCTCATTCGTCTTGGGTTGCTTCTTCCTCAAACCCTAAACCCTAAACCCTGAACCCTAAACCCTAAACCCTAGACCCTAAACCCTCAACCCTAAACCCTAAACCCTAAACACCGACAGCCTGTCCTTTGCCTCGCGGCTCTCATAACGGCTGCTGAGCGTGCTCCCATATTTCTGGGTGCTTCTAACGAAAAGGCGTGGCGTGTGTGGCAGAAACCCGGCGGTCGGTGCTGGGTGTTCAGAAGAACGAGGACCCTAAACCCTAAACCCTAAACGCTAAACCCTAAACCCTAAACCCTAAACCCTTACATGCATGCATACATACATGAGCAACCCTACAGCCACAAGCTCGCTTCAGGTACTTGGGCTTTCGTCTCTAGCCTAGCGCCTTTTGGCATCCTTATCTTGAACACCCAGCAACTACTACATGGAGGTTGTTCTACATTAAGGCCACATGATCGGTGGCTGCTATAACGGGGCCTCTGATACATGGGTGTGAGGGTTTAGGGCTTAGGATTTACGGCTTAGGGCTTAGGGCAGAGGACAAAAGCGAGTGTGACCCAAACGTTTTACAACCCCCAGAGCCTTCCGGCAAGTTCTACACACACAGCGTGACTTCTTCGGCGCCCAATCCACTGCCATCTGCGTAGAGCTTGAACTTGACCTGCGGCTGTACTTGGGGCTTAACAAAGCTTGGGGGGTGGAGGGTTTAGGGTTTAGGGTTTAGAGTCTAGGGTTTAGGGCTTAGGGTTTGGGGTTTAGGGTTTAGAGTTTAGATTTCTGGGTTTGGGGCTTGGGGTTTCGGGTTCCCGGAATGAAGAAGCTCCAACACCTAAACCCCAAACCCCAAATATAAACCCTAAACCCTAAACCCTAAACCCAAATGCCTTCTGCCCTTCCGCCAGCGCTTCCGGCTGGCCTTCGATGTCTTTCCTTGCGTTCAGAGCTCACTTGGAGGTTCAGAAGAGTTTCGGGCGAGGGTTTAGTGGGTTTTCGGGTTTAGGGTTTTAGGGTTTTAGGGTTTAGGGTTTAGGGTTTAGGGTTTAGGGTTTAGGGTTTAGGGTTTAAGGTTTAGGGTCTCAGAAGAAGGCGTGCGTGTCCGAGCCCAGGTTCCGGTGCATGTAGATCTTTCCGTCTCGCATCCCCTTGGCCTGCAGCAGATTTGCCACTGGGGGTGGACAGGGCCTACTTGCTCAAGTCAACACCCTGGACCCCAAACCCTTACGGCTCAAACCGCTAAAACCTCTCAACGCCCTAAGCCCTAAACCCTAAACCCTACACCCTAAACCCTACACCCCTTTCAAAACACGGAGAGATTAGCTCCCCGACAGCCTCGTGTTCGAACTCGTGGTCGGTCTTCACCCAACCATAGTGTCCTCCCAACGACGGCTCAAGAAGAGAACCCCAAACCCTAAATTTCGGAAATTCCCAAACCCTAAACCCTAAACCCTGAACCCTGAACCCTAAACCCTACACCCCAAACCTCAACATGCATAGATGGGAACACGACCCCCTCCCCTTGGAGCCAGCAATAACCACTCCCAGGAGAACAACAAACCCTAACCCTTAAACGCTAACCCCTAAACCCGAAACCCCAAACCCTAACCCCTAACCCCTAAACCCTCAACCCTAAACCCCAAACCCCCCTGAACCCGAAACCCTAAACCCCAAACGAACAAGGCGCCCGGTCCCTTCCACTCGATGAGCTCACCGAGGACATCGTCTTCGGTGACCCGCTCCCGCTGGTTGCTCCATGTCCACCAGTTATCTGGTGTGGAGGACTTTGTGGCCCCTCTAGCCCTAAACCCTGAACCCGAAACTGCCCTAAACCCAAACCCTAAACTGCCCTAAACCCTAAACCCCTGGCCCTAAAACCTAAACCCTAAACCCTAAACCCTAAACCCTAAACCCGAAACCCCCGGACCAGCATCAGCATCAGGGTTTTTGAAGGACTGGGGCAGTGAGGAGCGTTGAGTTCCGGGATTTATGGCTTGCGGTTTAGGGTTTAGGGTTTAGGGTTTAGGGTTTAGGGTTTAGGGTTTAGGGTTTAGGGTTTAGGGTTTAGGGTTTAGGGTTTAGGGTTTAGGGTTTAGGGTTTAGGGTTTAGGTTTAGGGTTGAACTGGGGGGGGGGCATCTGGCATCCCAAACCCTAACCTTGCCAAGCAGCTCATCATCTCCCACATCGCCTGCATGTCCCACTTTCCTTTTCCTTTGCCCTTGCCTGAGTCTGCAGGAGGTTGGGGTTTGGGGTTTGGGGTTTGGGGTTTGGGGTTTGGGGTTTGGGGTTTGGGGTTTGGGGTTTAGGGTTTAGGGTTTAGGGTTTAGGGTTTACGGGTTAGGGCTGAGGGCTTAGGGTTTAGGGTTTAGGGTTTAGGTTTTGGGTTTAGGGTTTAGGGTTTAGGGGCCGAGGGAGGATCAGGGTGCACTGCAATATGTACTGTAGGGGTCGGAATTCTGCTAATGATATTCCCTTACGGTCTCCGGAACCTATTCTAATTCTTCAGGCCCCAACATTGCACAGCACTCGGGGATGCGGAACGACTTTGGGACACCTTGGAACAACGCCCAAGTCGACGGTTCCGCAGCCGTCTTCAACACGAGAGCCCGCGGCGCGCCTTTGAACTGTGACGCAAGCTCTTGCAGTTTCTCATCTCCTGGCAGGTACTACGAAGGAAGGCTCGGGCTTCAGGGTTCAGGGTTCAGGCTTGAGGGTTGGGGTGCAGGGGTGGTTTAGGGTGTAGGCGGTGTAGGGGTTTGGGTGCAAGAGTGCTCGTGAGTAAGCTTCGCGGGCACTGTGGGAGGGGAGAGGCGGTTCAGGGTTAGGGCTCAAGAAGCCCTCACTTGCACAAGCTCGGCGGCAGTGTCATCAAGGATTAGGGTTTAGGGTTTAGGGTTTAGGGTTTAGGGTTTAGGGTTTAGGGTTTAGGGTTTAGGGTTTAGGGTTTAGGGTTTAGGGTTTAGAACTACGTCGTGGCGTTGGAAATGTTGGCCAGCAGTGCCCTTGATGTCGCCCAAGGCGATCTCGGCAGCAGACTGTTCCGCCTGAGGGGGCGAATGCAGGCAGGAAGCTTCGCGATTCTCTCAACTGAGGGTTTAGGGTTTAGGGTTAGGGTTTAGGGTTTAGGGTTTAGGGTTTTAGTGTTTAGGGTTTAGGGTTGTTGAGGGTTTCATAACATCAGCAAGATGTACAGGTTTCCAGGCCAGTGCCTGCGGGCCAACCGAGAAAAGCTCCTAGCAAACCCGAAACGGTGTATGGTTTGCAAAAGCCTCTGAGAAATGATAAATAACGTCGGCTTTACATGTATAAATATATATATATATGTATATATATATATATATACGTATATATATTTCTAAATTTATGTACATATATATATATATGTACATATGTATATGCCTCGAGTTGACTTGGTACTGTCGGTTCGAGGGGTTTAGGGCTCAGTGTTCCAAGGCCCTCCTCTGCTGTTGGTGCCCTTCTATGAGACCCCCCTTGCCCCCCCCCCCCCCCCCCCCCCCCCCCCAAACCGCACAATCCTCAACTCCCAAACCCCAAAGCCTGCAGCGGAAGCCCCGAAACCCTAAAGGGTTCTAGGTTTGGGGGTTTGGTCTGGGGTTTGGGGGTTTAGGGCTGAGGGTTGATTGTGGGGATGATACCCGAAAGCCCTTAACCTTAAACCCTAAACCCTAAACCCTAAGCCACCCCTTGCAGGAGGAGAGCCTTTTGCTTGTTGATGCAGAGGTGTCCCGCCCAGGCGCGCTGTCCCCACTCATCCGGCAGACTGGTGATCTGAACCTACAGGGGTCTTGGAGGCTTTGGGGGTTTAGGGTTTAGGGTTTCAGGTTTAGGATTTAGGGTTTAGGGTTCCGGGTTCAGGGTTTAGGGTTTAGGGTTTAGGGTTTAGGGTTTAGGGTTTAGGGTTTAGGGTTTAGGGTTTAGGGTTTAGGGTTCAGGGTTTAGGGTTTAGGGTTTAGGGTTTAGGCTGTAAAGGGATTTAAAGGGGGTTTAGGGTTTCAGGTTTAATTAGGGCTTTCGGGTTTAGGGTTCAGGGCTGCACTTCATGACCAACACCATAGCCATGGCACGGTGGCTTGGTACTGCGTGCCAATCTTGTTGCACACGTACACCTGAGCTCTCTCAGACTGGAGTCGGAAAACCCTGTGAAGGGCTCGGGGCGGATTAGGGTTTAGGGTTCAGGGTGTAGGGTTTAGGCTTTAGGGTTTAGGGTCGAGGGGTTGAGGGTTGAGGGTTGAGGGTTGAGGGGTTTCGGACAAACCCTCAGCCCACACTGCAGCCGGAAGAAACAAATAACTGAAAATAGGAAACACTGAAATTTTCCCACCCTTTGAGACCCCTTCCCCCACAACTCTTCGCGCTTCATATCTCACAACCCCAAGTCTTTCTAGTAGGTCATGGCGACCGGTAGGTACTAGGGTTTAGGGGTTTAGGGTTTAGGGTCTAGGGTTTAGGGTTTAGGGGTTTCGGGTGACGTGCATGGCCCAGGGACCGTCTCCCCCTTCTTCAGAAATCTGCCGATGATCTTCCTCGGTCG